CCTTGGTTCCAAACTGGTTCTGGAAGCAACATCAGCACAATAACTATTCGTCGGGAGCTTCATGAAATGGGTTTCCATGGCCGAGCAGCCACACACAAGCCTAAGATCACCCTACGCAATGCAAGGGTCGGCTGCAGTGGTGTAAAGCTCGCCGCCATTGGACTCTGGAGCAGTGGAAACATGTTCCCTGGAGTGATGAATGACGCTTCCCCATTTGGGTTTGGCAGATGCCAGGAGAATGCTACCTGCCCGAATGCATAGTGCCAAGTGTAAAGTTTGTGAAGGAGGAATAATGGTCTGAGGCTGTTTTTCATGGATTGTGCTCGGCCCCTTAGTTCCAGTGAAGGGACATCTTAACGCTACATCATGCAAAGACATTCTAGACAATTCTGTGCTTCCAACTTTGTGGCAACAGTTTGGGGAAGGCCCTTTCCTGTTTCAGCATGACAATGCCCCCGTGCACAAAGCGAGGTCCATACGAAATGGTTTGTTGATATTGGTGTGGAAGAACTTGACTGGCCTACACAGAGTCCTGACCTCAACCCCATCGAATAACTTTGTGATGAATTGGATCGCAGACTGCGAGCCAGGCCTAATCGCCCAACATCAGTGCCCGACCTCACTAATGTTCTTGTGGCTGAATCGAAGCAAGTGCCAGTAGCAATGTTCCAACATCTAGTGGAAATCCTTCCCAGAAGAATGGAGGCTGTTATAGCAGCAAATTATGGGACCAACTCCATATTAATGCCCATGATTTTGGAATGAGATGTTCGACAAGCAGGTGTCCACATACTTTCGGCCAAGTAGTGTATTTCCTTAAACATCCCTATGTTGTGTGCTTGTTCTTTCACCAGGTAGAGTAGGAATGTCTATCAATGGCATGCCCAACTTTTTGTGAGAAATTACACTGGTCACTCAAAACATTTATATAATGTTAGTATTTATATAGGATAAATAGCACTCACTTTAGATTAGGGACTGCAAAAATACTTTACTAATGATTAGTAAATTGTTTATTAATGTGGGAGTAATGAATAATAAATGGTGAACACACAATTTATAAATGCTTTATAAATGGTTTATTACGGACCCTTAAAATAAAGTGTTACCCATCCTAGTTGAGAATGAATAAACACATATTAGACTAATTTAAGAAAATCTCTGAATAAATGCCTTATAGATGACCATTGACTTATATAATACCTTATAACAGCATTACTAAATATTTGAAATGAGTGCAATTCAAGTGTTCCCCCCTGTGTTTAAATATTAGGCTACATATAACTCAACAGAAGAAAACAGAGAGAGAGGAGAGAGACTGCCAGTTTCTTAATGTTTTGACTGTATAAAACAGACAATGGCTACATTAAGGAACTGGCAGTCTCTCCCTCTCCCTCTGTTTTCTTCTATACAATTCTATATACAACCTTCTGTGTTTGTCAAAGAACGATGCCGGCACTAGTTTATGTGGATGCGGATAGATTTCTAGCGTTGTGCTTAGTTTGAGAGCTTATGCTGCGTATCTTTCTGCCAATAAGTGATTGGCCTTTCAGCGATTGAAATAAGATCGGCGGGACATTCTAGCCTTCAGTGCATTGGCTATGTAATGTAATCCGACACCAGAGTCACTTGTTACTAAACTCACTCACTGCGCTGAAGAGACTCAGATTCAGAAGCAAATAAACATTGATAAAACAATTAAAAATACATAGCCTTAACTATGTGTTATAAAAGCCAATCTAACGTCTTGTTAGGGTATATTGCAAGTAGCCTAGTGTCTAAATGTTACCACGAATCCCCCTTCCCTAATTAGCCTACTATAGGAGGTATTAAATATATTTCATACAATATACAGCCAAAATATTAGGCCAAACTGGCAGCAGTAGGCTACCTGATGTGCCTGTGTGCGTGAGTGTGTCTTTCTCTGTTTTCTTCCTAACTCGATGGTACCACAGCAGCTGATTTGTCATGTCTCACAGACACAGCACTCGGACCAGCAGAACCAGAACTTTTAGCAATGAAATCGGTTAATTGAACACATTTAGCAGCGTCGGTCTCTAGCAATTTGCTGGTCTCTCTAACTTTTTCGGCACCACCTTTCCGTTTTTCTGTTTTGATTGACAGAGTCAGAGCAGGTCTCACTCTTTTTGATGATGCGCGTTTGACTTTGAATGCCCACAGGTCAGCCAAATGCTCAATATAGATGATTATGACAGAGAATCAAAAAAGGCCCATGCCCATAATAATTTTTTGAAGCTGTTCTTCAGTGGGGATAGAGATCAAGTACAGACTTCAGGCTTGCCAGAGAAGCAATGCACATACTCTTTCAGATACTCCGCAGGGGGAAGCTTCATGGCTGGGATCACGATGTGGAGATTCTGGTCTTCATCTGTTGGCTTGCCTGTGGAACATCGTACAGGGTGGTGTCAGGTGTTTGCTATGGCCACGTATGACAGTCATGGGCGGATTGGCCATCTGGCAATACTGGTGAATGCCAAAAGGGCCGGACCATCTTTTATTGGGGTGGGCTGGTCGATTTAAAAAATCTACCAGCCCACCAACCAAAAAATAAGTTGCCTGTTTTGCATGTTATTTTGGCATTAATTCGTGTCACATATAGTTTGCAAACAATGTTCTAAAAAAAAAAAATTGAGTTAATAAAACCGCATACAAACATGGTCTCTTTTTGCTTTCTTGAGTAAGGCAGCTCCAAAATGCAGGTGTTTCAGCCTAGCTGAGTAATTTCTGTGGTGGTGGGGCAGCCAGCAGAAAATACGGAGCGTAGTTGTTGGTAATGTTCTCTAATTGCTCCGTGATTGGCTCAGTGTTCTGTCACTCATGGGGACAATACGTCACCGCAAAATCAACGGGGAGAGCTGGAAAATTCAAGCCCCTTGGGTGCTGCTATAGAGTTACATCAGAAATGCCCATCCAAGAAGGCTCAAGGTTATTGGCCACAGATAAAATGATGTCAAATCACGTTATATCTACCGTAGCTTTGATTGGACTGATCATGTCAACATCATATTTTCAAAATCTTAGCTAACAAGCTAGACAAGCAGTCATCATCATGAATCACGTCGACAATTCTATTTTATTTGTATGTATTTAATTTAGTTTTATTTTTACCCCTTTTTCTCCCCAATTTTCGCTGCAACTCCGGTACGGTCTCAGGGGAGGCGAAGGTTGAGAGCCATGCATCCTCTGAAACACGACCCTGCCAAGCCACACTGCTTCTTGATACACTGCTCGCTTTACCCGGAAGCCAGCCACACTAATGTGTCAGAGGAAAACACCGTACAACTGGCGATCGTGTCAGCGTGCATGCATCCTGCCCGCCACAGGAGTTGCTAGAGCGCGGTGGGACAAGGACATCCCGGCCGGCCAAACCCTCCCCTAACCCGGACGACGCTGGGCCAATTGTGTGTCGCCTCATGGGTCTCCCGGTCGCAGCCGGCTGCGACACAGCCCGGGATCGAACCTGGATCTGTAGCGACGGCTCAAGCACTGCAGTGCCTTAGACTGCTGCGCCTCTTGGGAGGCCCTTCACGTCGACAATCTACTGGCAAATCCTTTTCATTCCTTGTCATATAAAGATAAATAATAGATAAAATGTATCGGTGCTCGTTGGCCATTGGACATAAATATTACACAAGAAGTTGGAAATCGCAAATTCAACAATGAGTGGTTTGGAAGGAATCAGTGGCTAACTGCAAGCGTTGCAAAGCAATCACTAGCGTGCTATTCAGTGGAGTAGGTGTATGGTCCAAGTCTGGGTTTAAGGGTCTCTTTTCCAAGCTTAAAAGGATAAACATTCGCATGCAACACGATGGGCCAGAAAAGGTTGACTACATTGGCCATGCTGTCAATCCAGCATGACTTCTGCCGTGTTCAAAACAACGGTAAACTCTGAACTGGGAAATCTCAGACTTCAGTGAGTTCAAGACAACTGGGAAAATACGTTTTGAACGGTCATCCAACTCGGAATTCCAAGTCGGGAACTCAAGCCTCTTTCTAGAGCTCTGACCTGAAGATCACTGACGTCAAGATTTGACCTTGATTTTTTCAGAGTTCCCAGTTGTCTTGAAAGCACCATAAATCCAGAGAATGCCAGACTTAGATGACAAAGTTTGATAACATAATTTGCCCACAAGAAGGACCACCACCCCACCTTCCTGTTCAAGTAAGCACAGCACAACAAGGTGAGTCCAAAAATGTATTGTATGGTGCTGCATAAATGATGTAATATGCCAGGGAGATATTTACACTGTAGCTAAGAAAGTAATACTAAGTGTATGATGTGTAGTAAGCTGTTAGTAGCCCATGTGCCTCACCCTAATAATTTTGTCCCTTTCCCCTTCATAACGTAGCCTACTGTCATGACTTGGTGGTGCACATGTAGCCTATAGCCTGTTTTAGAGAAATGTAATTGTCTGCTTATATGCCCCCTTTATTTATCCTTCAGTTCTGACTTGGTGTACAAGGAGAATACTGTAAGAACGGCCCATGTTCTGAATTCTGTCGCTGTACATTTCAAAAGTGCTGAACAAATAATTATATTGACTGCGTCCGTCCTAGCGGATTTGAAGCGCTCTGCGTTGTCCTGTACTAGATGGTATGCTCTCTCAGGCGCTCTTGGAAGTTCGTCCTTGAAAGAGCGGGAGAACACAGAACGCAAGTACGCATTTTGGAACACAGCCACTGACTATATCGTATTTGGAACGTAACTAAATAAGTTCTGCAATTAAATAAATGTACCCTAAAACCAGTTAGCGATGTCAACTTTAAGACAGTCACTCACTCAGCTATCTTACAAGTCATGCTGCTTTTACGCTCCAGTTCCTCACCTGTGTATCCTTACCTTTTTCATCTGTATTGCAAAACTGCAAAGATGACTACAAGATTCAAATCTAGTTGTGCTGGTCAGCAGCCACTGCTCCTGTGTCGCTGACACTGGTATTACACTTCTATTTCAGACAGCTCATTACTCAGAGCGCAGTATGCCTGTTGTCCCTATCGTGCTGTCCTGCACCGAGACTGAACAAAGATAGCAAAAACCCAGAACAATGTCTGTTTGTATTAAGCCTGCCTTGGTGATTAATATAATATTTGAATGAAACTGGTTCTTTACTAACAGCTTGTAGTATATAGGTGGTGAAGCCAGGACCTGTGGATGAAATGGTTGTGCTGAAACCCAAACTAGATGGGACCTCCAAAAGTGGCATAAGGTATGCAAAAGTTGTTCAACCTCCAATTTGAAGGGCAGACCAAGTTAAAATAACCTATTATGTGTCATGTGTGTGAAGCGTGATGCAATGTGTGTGCAGATATTCATGTGACCCATCTGTGTAATATTATTGTGGTGCCAGAAACCCACAGATACATGAGGTATTCATGGTGCAACAATCTAAAAGTTATACATTTACATAATTGCACAGCGAGGAATGCATCACATGTAGGGCATTCATGGATATGCTTTTTGTGTTCCTCTGCTCTCCCTAGACTCTGTCATTACACTAATGTAACAATATTCCTTATCGGTTTTGCGCACACAATTTGTATGTTCAGGTCTGTGCTATACAAAGGATTCACTGTTGAGCTTCCAGACCCCCCATCCCTTGCCATTGAAGCTGCCTATGCCAACTTCACCCCAGACTCAGCTCCATTAATCAGCACCATGGGCATTTCTGCAGGGAAACTGCTAGTAGACTCCGTCCTTGGCAAAGTGCAGGCAGGCAGCGTTCTCTCTTATCAGCACCCACCTACTGTGTCTGATACTGTCATCACCCATGAGAATGCTCCACCATTCACGGACATGCCACTACAGGGCTACCAGTTAAGGGCAACAGACCATGCATACTGTATGTGTTAACCAATCAAGAGCAGTTGCACCTGACACCTACGTCTGTGTCTATGTCACAGTCACATGCGATTGAAAGAGCCACAAGATGTCCAAGTGAAATGCACTCCTTGAGGAGTGACTGCATCTACTTTTAGGGAAGTCAGCCATGTGAGAGGGCAAAGCACAGCTGAAAACATAGCTGCGAGGATAATCAGAGGGACTAGTCAAACGACACAGATGAAGAGAATACTGGAAATGGAGACAGGTGTTGAGGGACTATTCAACTATGAACAAGCTGAACTATAGGAAGTGTGGACTTGTTATCCATCCAAATGCACCATGGCTAGGTACATCTCCCGATGGACTGTTATATGACCCACTTGAGAGACCTTCATTCGGGCTTGTAGAAGAAAAATGCCCAAATGCAACAAGCTACGTTGACTGTAGATACCTCAAAGTTGAGCATGGCAAACACAAGTTGAAGGAGAGCCATTCATATTATTGGGTTCAGGGGCAGTTGATGGTCACAGGTATGGAATGGTGTGATTTTGTTGTCTGTGCCCATGATGACATGTTTGTGGAGCGCATTTACAAAGATACAACTGTCTTCAATAAACTAAAGCAGATATGTGATGTTTTCGTCTTTTACACATACAGTTGAAGTCGGAAGTTTACAAACACCTTATATTTAAACTCAGTTTTTCACAATTCCTGACATTTAATCCTAGTAAAAATTATGTAAACAATTGTTGGAAAAAGTACTTGTGTCATGCACAACCTACAGGTTGGAGTCATTAAAACTTGTTTTTCCACCACTCCACAAATGTCTTGTTAACAAACTATAGTTTTGGTAAGTCGGTTAGGACATCTACTTTGTGCATGACACAAGGAATTTTTCCAACAATTGTTTACAGACAGATTTATTTCACTTATAATTCACTGTATCACAATTCCAGTGGGTCAGAAGTTTACATACGCTAAGTTGACTGTGCCTTTAAACAGCTTGGAAAATTCCAGAAAATGATGTCATGGCTTTAGAAGCTTCTGATAGGCTAAATGACATCATTTGAGTCAATTGGAGGTGTACCTGTGGATGTATTTCAAGGCCTACCTTCAAACTCAGTGCCTCTTTGCTTGACATCATGGGAAAATCAAAAGAAATCAGCCAAGACCTCAGAAAAACAATTGTAGACCGCCACAAGTCTGGTTCATCCTTGGTAGCAATTTCCAAACGCCTGAAGGTACCACGTTCATCTGTACAAACAATAGTATGCAATTATAAACACCATGGGACCACGCAGCTGTCATACCGCTCCGGCAGGAGACGTGTTCTGTCTCCTAGAGATGAACGTACTTTGGAGTGAAAAGTGCAAATCAATCCCAGAACAACAGCAAAGGACCTTGTGAAGATGCTGGAGGAAACAGATACAAAAGTATCTATATCCACAGTAAAACAAGTCCTATATCGACATAAGCTGAAAGGCCGCTCAGCAAGGAAGAAGCAACTGCTCCAAAACCACCATAGAAAAGCCAGACTACGGTTTGCAACTGCACATGGGGACAAAGATGGTACTTTTTGGAGAAATGTCCTCTGGTCTGATTAAACAAAAATATAACGGTTTGGCCATACATAATGACCATCTTTATGTTTGGAGGAAAAAGGGGGTTGCTTGCAAGTCGAAGAACACCATCCCAACCGTGAAGAACGGGGGTGGCAGCATCATGCACTGGGGGTGGCAGGTAGCTTAGTGGTTAAGAGCGTTGTGCCAGTAACCGAAAGATCGCTGGTTCTAATCCCCGAGCCAACTAGGTGAAAAATCTGTCGATGTGCCCTTGAGCAAGGCACTTAACCCTAATTGCTCCTGTAAGTCGCTCTGGATAAGAGCGTCTGCTAAATAATGTAAATGTAAAATGTAGAATGGGTGCTTTGCTGCAGGAGGGACTGGTGCACTTCACAAAATAGATGGCATCATGAGGAAGGAAAATTATGTGGATATATTGAAGCAACATCTCAAGACATCAGTCAGGAAGTTAATGCTTGGTCGCAAATGGATCTTCCAAATGGACAATGACCCCAAGCATACTTCCAAAGTTGTGGCAAAATGGCTTAAGGACAACAATGTCAAGGTATTGGAGTGGCCATCACAAAGCCCTGACCTCAATCCTATTGAAAATGTGTGGGCAGAACTGAAAAAGCGTGTGCGAGCAAGGAGGCCTACAAACCTGACTCAGTTACACCAGCTTTGTCAGGAGGAATGGGCCAAAATTCACCCAACTTATTGTGGGAAGCTTGTGGAAGGCTACCCGAAACGTTTGATCCAAGTTAAACAATATAAAGGCAATGCTACCAAATACTAATTGAGTGTATATAAACTTCTGACCCACTGGGAATGTAATGAAATAAATAAAAGCTGAAATAAATCATTCTCTCTACTATTATTCTGACATTTCACATTCTTAAAATAAAGTGGTGATCCTAACTGACCTAAGACAGGGTATTTTTACTACGATTAAATGTCAGGAATTGTGGAAAACTGAGTTTAAATGTAATTAGCTAAGGTGTATGTAAACTTCCGACTTCAACTGTACCTTCCAAAGTACCTCTCCATGCACTAATAAATCTTAAGACATCAGTTCACAGCTCATTTGTTAATTTTATGAGAAATGAACACGCAAACAATTGTAATATTTAATGTTAAATTCATGTCTGTCAGCTCTGTCAGTAATGCTTTTACAATGAATCTGTGCTCTAACTATGAATTCATTGTTGTATTTACAATTTTATAAAAAAACGGTGTACTCTTTCACTACACAGCACGTGAGATTATTTTGAGATAGGAATACAAATGGTTAGAAGGTTGGCTGTGACATTAAAATAGCAGAAGCATGTTGTACGCTCAATGGTGCCTATGCTAAAATGTCATTTTGGCCACTAGAGAACTCTATCATTCTCTATGGCTATTACAAACTAGTTATCTAGCTTGTACACACTAGCTAGCTAGTTAGTACACCCTATCTAGCTAGTACAACTCTAGCTAGCTAGTACACACCAACAAGGCGTTAAGCCTCGATCACACCAACAGCGTCATTGCGCAAAATGGAAGGTAGCATCATCTGGATATGTGTGCAACAAAAGTTCAACATTCACCTTCTGCTACCATTTCTGTCAAGCTGTCTACACATACAGTTTGATGCATACTTTGATAAATCCAACATATGCACCACACAGAACGCACTGCAACTGCCTCTGCAACACAATGCTGCAAGGCAAACGCAGCGTTCCATTGGAAATGAATGTACTTCTGGTGTACCAAAATGCAATAAGGCTGTATTTGAGATCGAGGTGTAATGCCTTGATCACACCGATAGCATCATTGCGCAAAATAGTATGCAGAATCATCTGGATATATGTGCAACAAAAGTTCAACATTCACCTTCTGCTACCATTTCTGTCTATGCTGTCTACGCATACAGTTTGATGCATTCTTTTGATAAATCCAACATATGCATCACACAGAACGCACTGCAACTGCCTCTGCAACGCAATGCTGCAAGGCAAACGCAGCGTTCCATTGGAAATTAATGTACTTCTGGTGTACCAAAATGCAATAAGGCTGTAGGTGAGATCGAGGGGTAATGCCTTGATCACACCGATAGCATCATTGCGCAAAATAGTATGCAGAATCATCTGGATATGTGTGCAACAAAAATTCAACATTCACCTTCTGCTACCATTTCTGTCAAGCCGTAAACGCATACAGTGTGATGCATACGTTTGATAAATCCAATATGGAGTTGGGTTTGAGCACATACCCCCCAAAAGGTCTGTGCACAGCCCTTGCATGACATGTTGCCAAGGTCTAGTTACCTAGATTACACATTGCAGAAAAGAGAGGTCTCTTGAAATGGAAAACCAGTTTTACAACATTCTTTGTCAAGTGAAAACTAAGAGCTATATTTTTTTGTCAGAGGTCAGTTTTAATGACTGGCTGGTCTCTGTGGCATCAGCTGGGTTGCATTCAGTACGTGTTTACGTTTTGGAACGTTCAATTTAACGGAAACGGTGCTGTACTGATCGACCAGTTTAAAAACGGGGAGGGGTTGGGGAACGCTGTCAGCATGGCCACTGCCCTTTAAATACGTCACTCATTGCTTCAAGCCACACCTCGCCACCCCCACCAAACCGGATCAAACATATTTCAAAGTCTGTTCAATAACGTTTTTGGGAAACGTGTCGTTCAGTACAAACCGTTCTGCAACATAGTAAACGTTCAAGCGAACTGAACGTACCATAGGATGCCTCAAGAGGTGTCAGGTTAGGAGAGATTTTTGGGCGTAGTCACCTGTGCAGGTACAAATACGGAAGTTCCCAACTCCTAGATTTGATTCAGAAATCAGTCAACAGCCAGTGCCACCAAATCAATAGATTTGATTTGACTTCAACAGTCAGGGCGAGGACATTGCAATGCAGCGTAACACATATTTGTAGGAGCGCCAAGGACTTCAGTAGGGCCCAAATGGCCGAACTTTTATCCGTACCGACTACTACTACACCCAGAGCTTCATCCACTGACAAAATGTATCCAGGCGATTCCAAAGGATCCGTCCATGGAGGAGGATTCGGCGAGCGCTCTGTCCCGGGCAACACCGGGACGTTAAGCCCGAGCGTGGTCAACCAACTCATGATGGAATTTCTGATGTACTTCGGGAGAGCGCTATTGGTCTTTTATCCTGTTTATTTGACAGGGTACCTCGGACTCAGCGTCATCTGGATCCTCTTGTGCATTATGATGATCACTTGGTGGAAGAAAAACCGCAAGTGGAAAGATATCCGAATTGGTACGGCTATAAACTTTCTGGATAATGAAACACAACTGATCCACAACGAGTTGAAAACCTTGAATATGACAACATGGGTATGTATTGGTATGATGTTGATGTAGGCAGAGGTTGTTCCCCATCTGTGTAAATAAAGTTTTGTTAGGTGGTACTCTGGTTGACATAAGAGGAGATATACACACACGCTGTCACATACAAAATTCGAACAAAATTAAATTAGGCCTGCTCTATCAGTAGGCCTTTTTTTTCCCAACCCCACCCTTTTCTTAAAATTGTTTAATAAAAGTAGATTCTACACTAATCACATTTTACATAATGAATGAACTCATCTAGGTTATGTCTGTTCATGTCATTGGGGGAGTTCATGTCTGGAAGGTTTTGTGTGACTTAAAGCAAACACACCTAAATCAAAGCACTCTTAAGAATAGAGCCTACATAGGTCTATTTAAACTTGTGTATAATGAGCATACAAATTACCAACTAAGACCAGATGCTCAGCACAAGCCTACTTGGATGATCGTTATAGCTATATAGTGTTATGGTCAAACATGTGGAAGTGTCATTTGTCATCATCTTCCAGCCACGTTCTGCCTCAATAATAGTAAGACCTAACATTGCATTCCATTACTGGGAAATAACAAAGGTGTGGCTGTATTGTTTGGGAGTGCAATAGGCAGTGCAGAAGCTTTAAACCCCCTCTTGTATTCGTTCTTGCATTTGAATCAAGCTGTGGTTTATTGTCAAATTGCAGTGAATGTTGGACCCCTGTGTTTTGCCAAAGGCAGTCTTCAGTGCCATATTGACTACTGTGTCCCCAAATAACTGTAGGCTATAGAGCAGTGTTCTTAATTCATTCCAGTGGACTTATTAATATTTAGAGACATCATGGGAATATTTTTGGTGATTGAAGTGTTGACACCATAGTTGTGTGATTATGTTGCAGGAGGTTTCACTCATCCATTCCTTACCACACCCATACCCATGACTAATAGGAAACATTGACAAAGACAATAAAGTGCCACTGCTGAGGCTGTTGTACATTTAGAAGAGTATTTTGTGAACATGTTGAGGAAAGTTGAAGCAGTAGTTATCATTGTTAAAACAATATAGTGGATATTTTGTATTTCACAATGTTCCGGTTTTGTTGTTTTGCTGGTAAAACATTTTTTAGGGTGTGTGCCCTTCATCTCCTGCTCTCCCACAAAAGTTTGGAATTACAATCCCTTGATTAGTCACCAGGTCCTGCCTAACCAGTATTTTTCCTTTCGATATCAAAACCCCACACTGTGGTAGAGTAAGACGACACAGTTCTATATTCAACCACTCGGACACTAGCCTTGTCCCAGATCTGTTTGTGCAGTCTTGCCAACTCATATTCATGGTTTGGCATTACAATGGCCATAAGAGTTGGCAAGACGGCACAAACAGATTTGGGACCAGGCTACTCAGACACAAAAAAAGGCAATAGAAAGTAACACATATATTAAAACGGGAACGTCACAGTGCCTTCAGAAATTATTCACACCTGTTTACTTTTTCCACATTTTGTTATGTTATAGCCTGAAATAAAAATGGATTAAATTGACATTTTTTCTGTTGGCCTACAAACAATACCCTATAATGTCAAAGTGGAAGTATGTATTTGGAAATGTTTACAAATTAATAAAAAATGAAAAGCTGAAATGTCTTGAGTCAATAAGTATTCTACCCCTTTGTTACGGCAAGCCTAAATAAGTTCAGGAGTAAAAAATTGCTTAACAAATCACATAATAAGTTGCATGGACTCACTCTGTGTGCAATAATAGTGTTTAACATGATTTTCTAATTACTACCTCATCTACAGTGGGGAGAACAAGTATTTGATACACTGCCGATTTTGCAGGTTTTCCTACTTACAAAGCATGTAGAGGTCTGTAATTTTTATCATAGGTACATTTCAACTGTGAGAGACTGAATCTAAAATCACATTGTATGATTTTTAAGTAATTAATTTGCATTTTATTGCATGACATAAGTATTTGATCACCTACCAACCATTAAGAATTCCGGCTCTCACAGACCTGTTCGTTTTTCTTTAAGAAGCCCTTCTGTTCTCCACTCATTACCTGTATTAACTGCACCTGTTTGAACTCGTTACCTGTATAAAAGACACCTGTCCACACACTCAATCAAACAGACTCCAACCTCTCCACAATGGCCAAGACCAGAGAGCTGTGTAAGAACATCAGGGATAAAATTGTAGACCTGCACAAGGCTGGGATGGGCTACAGGACAATAGGCAAGCAGCTTTGTGAGAAGGCAACAACTGTTGGCGCAATTATTAGAAAATGGAAGAAGTTCAAGATGACGGTCAATCACCCTCGGTCTGGGGCTCCATGCAAGATCTCACCTCGTGCGGCATCAATAATCATGAGGAAGGTGAGGGATCAGCCCAGAACTACACGGCAGGACCTGGTCAATTACCTGAAGAGAGCTTGGACCACAGTCTCAAAGAAAACAATTAGTAACACACTACGCCGTCATGGATTAAAATCCTACAGCGCACGCAAGGTCCCCCTGCTCAAGCCAGCGCATGTCCAGGCTCGTCTGAAGTTTGACAACGACCATCTGGATGATCCAGAGGAGGAATGGGAGAAGGTCATGTGGTCTGATGAGACAAAAATAGAGCTTTTTGGTCTAAACTCCACTCGCCGTGTTTGGAGGAAGAAGAAGGATGAGTACAACCCCAAGAACACCATCCTAACCGTGAAGCATGGAGGTGGAAACATCATTCTTTGGGGATGCTTTTCTGCAAAGGGGACAGGACGACTGCACCGTATTGAGAGGAGGATGGATGGGGCCATGTATCGCGAGATCTTGGCCAACAACCTCCTTCCCTCAGTAAGAGCATTGAAGATGGGTCGTGGCTGGGTCTTCCAGCATGACAACGACCCGAAACACACAGCCAGCGCAACTAAGGAGTGGCTCCGTAAGAAGCATCTCAAGGTCCTGGAGTGGTCTAGCCAGTATCCAGACCTGAACCCAATAGAAAATCTTTGGAGGGAGCTGAAAGTCTGTATTGCCCAGTGACAGCCCCGAAACCTGAAGGATCTGGAGAAGGTCTGTTTGGAGGAGTGGGCCAAAATCCCTGCTGCAGTGTGTGCAAACCTGGTCAAGACCTACAGGAAACGTATGATCTCTGTAATTGCAAACAAAGGTTTCTGTACCAAATATTAAGTTCTGCTTTTCTGATGTATCAAATACTTATGTCATGCAATAAAATGCAAATGAATTACTTAAAAGTCATACAATGTGATTTTCTGGATTTTTGTTTTAGATTCTGTCTCTCACAGTTGAAGTGTACCTATGATAAAAAGTACAGACCTCTACATGCTTTGTAAGTAGGAAAACCTGCAAATTCGGCAGTGTATCAAATACTTGTTCTCCCCACTGTATGTACCCCAATGTCGGAGAGGAAGGAAACTATTTGTAATGTCCCCCAGTCGATCAGTGAATTTCAAACACAGATTCAACCACAAAGACCAAGGAGGTTTTCCAATGCCTCGCAAAGAAGGGCACCTATTGGTAGATGGAAAAAAAGAAGAGAAAAAAGAAACTTGAGATTGAATATCCCTTTGAGCATGGTGACGTTATTACACTTTGGATGATGTATCAATACACCCAGTCACTACAAAGATACAAGCGTGTTTCCTAACTCAGTTGCCAGAGAGGAAGGAAACCTCTCAGTGATTTCACCATGAGGCCAATGGTGACTTTAAATCAGTTACAGAGTTTAATGGCTGTGATAGGAGAAAACTGAAGATGGATCAACAACATTGTAGTTACTCCACAATAATAACCTAATTGAAAGAGTGAAAATAAGGAAGCCTGTACAGAATACAAATATTCCAAAACATGCATCCTGTTTGCAACAAGGCACTAAAGTAATACTGAAGAAAACGTGGCAAAGCAATTAACTTTTTGTCCTGAATACAAAGTGTTATGTTTGGGGCAAATCCAATACAACACATTACTGAGTACCACTCTCCATACTTTCAGCAGGACAATAACCTAAAACACAAGGTCAAATCTACACTGGAGTTGCTTAACAAGAAGACAGAGAATATTCCTGAGTGGCTGAGTTACAGTTTTGACTTAAATCTGCTTGAAAATGGTTGTCTAGCAATGATGAACAACCAATTTGACAGAGCTTGAATAATATGGAAATATTGTTCAATCCAGGTGTACAAAGCTCTTAGACTCACTTTGTCATTATGGGGTATTGTGTGTAGATCGGTGAGACAAAACATATAATTAATCATTTTTGAATTCCGGCTTTAACACAACAAAATGTGGAATAAGTCAAAGGGTATTAATACTTCCTGAAGGCACTGTATATGTCAAATGTGCCTCTGATTGGTTTCTTTGTCTAATATGCCCATCTCCCTGCATACAATGTAGACCTAATTAAAAGTTCAAAAGTAAGTCTTATTAAGTGAGGATGGGTCCTCTTCATTATCTGGACTCCTGCCAACTCACAGAACCACAAGGGTGTGTGTCAACCAAACTCTCTTGTAATGTTGTCTCTTCTTTTCCCAAAGGTACACTTTCCTGAAGTTGAGAAGGTTGACTGGCTCAACAAGGTAAGATAATGTAGTTTTTTTCATTCATGCTGTGTCTGTTAGGCTGATATTATGGTCACTCTTTGTCTGTTGTGCTGTTGTCACCTCAGCAATGGAGTTGGCCAGACAGCACAAACAGATCTGTTTAGTGTAGTCTTGGGGAGGGTCCGTCATGAACTGCTTTCACATTGACATGTTGCCGACAAAGCTTTCAAAACAACATTGTTTTCAATGACATATCACATACAGAACCGCTCAAAGTTCTGCTCTACATTTGTTTATCCACACAATGATCGCAACTAGTTCTCCTGTCGTACTTTGGTCATATGTCTATCTGTATGTCTTTAGATCTTGCTGCAGGCATGGCCGTTCTTTGGCATGTTCATGGAGAAGCTCCTCAAAGAGAAGATCCAGCCATCCATCAGATTGTCCAGCCCATACCTCAAAACATTCACTTTCACAAAAGTCCACTTTGGTCATACAGTGAGAGAGCTTTTGTTGTGTTAGCATATCAGGTTTCACCTTGTGGTTCTAGGTTTGTATCAATTTCAGTACCCTACGGCCTCATTTATCAACCGTGCTTAATTCCTCACAAAATGTTGGCGCATGTGGAGATTCTAGGTTTTGTATTCGCAACACATTATTGGGATTTATCATACTGTCACTCGTATGCAACTTGTATGCATGTTTTCATTGATACATCCTATAGCCATACTATATTTCTGCGCACGTGAACGACCGTTAAAACCCCGCTTGGAAAACACCCTATATTCACCTTTTTATAGTGACAAAAACACTCTAATTTGCTTTATGATTTGGAAATGTTGGAACTCGGCCATGATGACATTTTCTAAAAGAAAGAGTAATGGCAGATTTGATCACATTTCTGTAGAGGTGTGGGCAGAATGTGTTAATCTTTTACAGTGACTTTTTCAAACTAAACATGCATGCCTCCTATAGCGACTGCCAAACACCGGCTGTGCATTCTGCAATTTAAAAGTAACTTAAATGCAACAGCCCACACTTCTATGCGCAAGACAAACTGTTGTTCAATATTTTGTTTAATGATAGATGATTGTGTTTCTTTCTCCTGCCTTGGTACAGGCTCTGCATTTAAATAGGCTATGATGTTGTGCTCCTGTAACACAGAAATACTGTAGCCTACCTATTGTAAAACAAAATGTAATACTACTGGTTTATTTACTTTCAAGCATGCATGAATGAGGAATGAATGAATGGTAGGGATGTAAAGATTCAGTGAATCGGTCCTGATTTAAAATCAGTATGTGGACCCCAAACCGATCCAAATGTAGCATGCATCGGTCAGAAAATGGATTAAAACGTTAGAAATCGCATATTCACTTTTTTTCTCATATTACTTTCTTTCTACCTTCCGAAAATACCTCATATTTTGTGACAACTGATGCATCCTCTCCTTCAGTGTCGAACTAAAAGCATATAACTGTGTTGACGGTCGTTGATCTACAAGGCATTTTGCATGCCTAACAACTCTAGGGAATATCAGTAGCCGAGTCAAAATGCGCACGGTGCCCAGCTTCGCACAGTGACCAATGCTAGGTACGCATCTGCGTTCAAATGCAAAAATGGCTTTCGCGATATTAGGCTTTATTAGTTGAGTGACAACCTATGTAATTTGCTAGGTTATTGTTATCAGTGCGCTGTTGAAAATTGTGTTTTACCACAATAAAAGTAATCTACCGGAAACACAACTCTCATCTGGCTATATACCTGCTGAATGGGGTTTACAATATATTTTATTACGGTTGTTCAGGTTCACCATCAGCTATAGTTTTAAACAATCAGTGTATATGGTCATTTTTAGATATACAGCGTAAAGTTGATAATTTCATAGCGACTAATCACTTTTGCGAGGTGCACTGCATGGCTAAAGCACAAGGAGAAAAGAAGCTCACTATACTCACAGATTATCCATAATATTGACCAGATACTCAGTAACAATGAAAATAAATGTCTTAAAAAATGGAAGGCAGTCGGGAGGAGGCAAGATCAGGTGGGACCATTCTAGCCAATGAGAGGGCAGATACACTTGTGAACAACGGTCTCCACTAGTTACCACAGCCACAAAGTCAAAATTGGCTACGATAGAAATTCATGATTAATTTAAAGTTAGCAGTGTGGTTAAGGCTAGTTTTAAAATCACATTTTAAGAAGATAAATAGTAGAAATAGGCTGGGTTTATGACTTTGTGGCTGTGGTAACTAGTGACGACCAGGCACAACTCCGATATAACGTCAGATTTTGTGCCCAGTTATCCCTCTCGCTTTGCCTCTTCCTCTCTGCTAAACTTCAAAACCATTCGATTTTGGGATTGGGGTGGAATCCAAAGTTGTGCTATATATTCATTGGCTGTGTCATGGCTAATTTGTAAGCGATAAATATTAGGGCCCACCCTAATCTGATAGTGGTAGTGGGGTGGTAGATACCTAGTCTCCCTGATGGCTCAGATCAGGTGACTACATAGTATACACCATAGACATACTTACTTTACACAAACACACACACACACACACACAGTACATACACCATAGACATACAGTACATCATTCTCACACACACACACACACACACACACACACACACACACACACACACAGACAGAGAGAGAGAGAAGTCAGCTCAGACAGGTCCAGCTCAGAAAGGCCCAGCTCATGACCTCCATCAGCAGCAGATTTAAATTTAGAATGGAAAATGAATGTGTTTATGCAACATGTTAGTGCATCGTATTGCACCAAATCGCATCGATTCGTTCGTGCAATATCCTTGTTAACGGCAAATGCATATTTTTCAAATAATTGTTTGCATATTTTTTTTTACCATTATAATGAATTATGTGCATGTCAACAAACACCTCCATTTCCCCCAAAAAACAATATCTGCATGCAATGCAATTCTTCAAATTCCCATACTATAAAACATGTTATTTTCGCTACAATTTAGAACGCAAGTATGAGTATTCGAACACAGCCAGCATATATATTTTGGTGCGTACGCACCTTTGATAAATGAGGCCCCTGGTGATAACATACAGTGCTATGAAAAAGTATTTGCCCCCTTTCTAATTTTCTCTACTTTTGCATATTTGTGATACTGAATGTTATCAGATCTTCAACCAAAACCTAATATTAGATAAAGGGAACATAAGTGAACAAATAACACAACAATTACATATTTATTTCATAAACAAAGTTATGCAACACCCAATTCCCCTGTGTGAAAAAGTAATTGCCCCCTTACCCTCAATAACTGGTTGTGCCACATTTAGCTGCAATGACTCCAACCAAATGCTTCCTGTAGTTGTTGATCAGTCTCTCACATCGCTGTGGAGGAATTTTGGCCCACTCTTCCATGCAGAACTGCTTTAACTCAGTGACTTGTGGGTTTAACATTTTAGTCATTTAGCAGACGCTCTTATCCAGAGCGACTTACAGGAGCAATTAGGGTTAAGTGCCTTGCTCAAGGGCACATCGACAGATTTTTCACCTAGTCGGCTCGGGGATTAGAATCAGCGACCTTTCGGTTACTGGCACAACGCTCTTAACCACTAAGCTACCTGCCGCCCTACCTGCTTGTTTCAAGTCCTGCCACAACATCTCAATTGGGATTAGGTCTGGACTTTGACTAGGCCATTCCAAAACTTCCAATTTGTTGCTGTTTAGCTATTTTCATGTAGACTTGATTGTGTTTTGGATCATTGTCTTGCTGCATGACCCAGCTACGCTTCAGCTTCAGCTCACAGACGGATGGTCTGACATTCTCCTGTAGAATTCTCTGATGCAGAGCAGAATTCATGGTTCCTTCTATTAAGGCAAGTCATCCAGGTCCTGAGGCAGCAAAGCATCCCCAAACCATCACACCACCACCACCATGCTTGACCTTTGGTATGATGTTCTTAATGTGGAATGCAGTGTTTGGTTTTCGCCAGGCATTACTGGAACCATATCGTCCAAGTTTTGGAATGGCCTAGTCAAAGTCCAGACCTAATCCCAATTGAGATGTTGTGGCAGGACTTGAAACAAGAAGTTCATGCTTGAAAACCCACACGTCAATGAGTTAAAGCAGTTCTGCATGGAAGAGTGGCCCAAAATTCCTCCACAGCGACGTGAGAGACTGATCAACAACTACAGGAAGCATTTGGTTGGAGTCATTGCAGCTAAAGGTGGCACATCCAGTTATTGAGTGTAAGGGGGCAATTACTTTTTCACACAGGGGAATTGGGTGTTGCATAACTTTGTTTATGAAATAAATATGTAATTGTTGTGTTATTTGTTCACTTATGGTCCCTTTATCTAATATTAGGTTTTGGTTGAAGATCTGATAACATTCAGTATCACAAATATGCAAAAGTAGAGAAAATTAGAAAGGGGGCAAATACTTTTTCATAGCACTGTGTATATATATATATATATATATATATATATATATATATATATATACATATATTCTCCTAATTTCAGCCCCTCCGAATCACTGGACTTAAAGTGTACACCCATGAAGTGGACAAGAGGCAGGTGGTTATGGACCTGCACATAAGGTAGTAGTAGTAGGTAGTCAACATCAAATCAATAACACATACTACAGCACATAATAAAGACACAATAGGCCTACATTGGCTAGTAGTACTGTAGTTAGTAGTACAGCAGAAGTAGTAGTTTTATTGTCCCAGAAAATCCATAACAAGGTATTGGTCAGTTCTATGACTCCCTGTAAACTATTAGGGCCTTGGATTTAGCCTGGTCCCAGATATGTTTGTGCTCTCGACAGTGCTTTTTGCTTCACAGTTACGATGGGGATGTGGACATCGACACAGAGGTGAAGCCGCCCATCACTGCTGGGGTCAAAAGTATTCGGGTAGGCATCAGATGTTCTTGTGTGGCATCTAGCTTGGCTCCATGCCCTTCTGCCACATATAACCACCCTATGCTAGCCTAGGATGACTTTGGTTCAAAATGGAACATAGTTATCATGGCAAACAGGTCGTGTCACATTATTCCTCCTACATCAAGCCGTGACTTGAGGTTTGACATAGTCAGGCATCATGGGTAAAACTATGGGTCCCATGTGCACGTGTGTTCAATTTACATTGTGTGTAATTAGCTTTTTTGTTTTGCAGTGAAATTGCCCCTCTTGAGGAAATTGAGGAGCTGTATTAAAACTGGTTTTGATCTTTAAATTGATCTATATCAGCCCTTTGCTAATAAAACAGAATGTTTTATTTTTCAGCTTCAAGGCATCTTGCGTGTCATTCTGGAACCTCTGATTGGAAATGCCCCGTTGGTGGGAGGAGTCACTATGTTCTTCATTCGTCGGCCGGTGGGTTCTGAAAGATGGCTCTGTTTGCTATTTAAACCTATGACACCCAGAGACTTTTGTTTTGTTTTGCTTTAGCTACCTTCGTTCACCCTCTGTTTATTACCGTTATATAAGTAAATGTTATATGTTTTTTGTTTTCAGGAGGTCCAAGGCTAGTTGCATAGGCTATTACTTTTTAAACCCTACCAGGTCACTAATGAGTATGGGACCTGTTGTGCCCCGTCAGGACATCGGCATCCTTGTGGTAGGATGCTAAGAGTAATGAAACATTTAATTTAAAGTTACCAAATTCTAAATTGTTTAATTTTCAGACCCTACAAATCAACTGGACAGGGTTGACCAACCTCTTAGACACTCCAGGTCTAAGGTAATGATGTTGTTTTTTACATACAAGTACAAAATATATTTTGGGTGTATTCTAGAAAAAGAGCTCTAAAAATTCAGATTTTTTTGGTCAGAATGTATCTGTTCCAAAGTCACTATTTCAGACTGAAGTGACTTCTGCCCTAACCCTTCACCTCCACAGTCACCTGTCTGAGCCAGCCATCATGGACATCATCGCTTCCCTTATGGTCCTGCCCAACCGCATGTGTATCCCCTTCATAGACCAGGTCAAAGTGGACCAGATGAGGTTCCCCATGCCTCAAGTGAGTACAGTACACTGACACTCCACTGTGTCAGTGCCAATGGCCCAGTACAGTAGGTGTTCTGATCAGACAACACAGGAGGATTGATAGACACAAGTTGAGTGTATGGCACATCTCTGACACAGTTCCAATGATTGGAAGTGGTTCCATTAAATTGGGAGTTTCCATGAAATGTCATAAAACAAGATTTGACACCAAATATTGGTTTAATGGAATCTTCAAATATGGTTCCTGTGTTGCTGGCTAACTTGTGTTCATATTTTGGGGGTCTAAAAATATGCTAGTTCTGTTAAATGTGTATTTTAGTGGGTGTGTGCAGAAAGATCTTGTTGTGTTTAGTACTAAAACTGTACAGTATTTTTTGATGTTTTAGGGGGTTGTGAGGGTACACTTGCTGGAGGCCCAGGATCTGATTGCGAAGGACACTTATATGATGGGATTGGTGAAGGGCATGTCTGACCCCTATGCGGTGCTTAGGGTCGGCAACATCCACTTCCAAAGCAAGACCATCAAGGAGAACCTGCACCCACGCTGGAACGAGGTTTACGAGGTATGGACTCCTGAAAATCCTCCTACTGTACATGTAGAGTAACACTCACACACACTCACAAATCGCGCAGTCAACCCACTCTCTCTCCCCTTTGTCTATACAAACTCTGTTTTTATTTATTACCATGGAAAATATGTTTGAATATGTGATTTCTTACTGCTTTTATCACCTTTTTGATTTTTCAACTGCAGTTTGTGGTACACGAGGCCCCTGGGCAGGAGTTAGAGGTGGATGTGTTTGACAAGGACACTGACAAGGATGACATCCTGGGAAAGTGAGGAAACCACTTACTATGTGCACGAGAATAGACACATCCTCCCCATTCTGATTTGTTATGCCCGCTAGTCACTCAGACAGCTGACCCATTTCAAACATTCAGTAGTGTACAAGTGCGTTGTGGAATGTTCAGATAGAAATATGTCATGTAGAACATATGCCTCTGACATGTAGAGTAAGGAATCATGCCGGCTCTATTCATGACGTTATCTATCTGCAATGTTCCACAACATTTGTGTGACAAGGCCTATTGAAAATGGCCCTGGTTAGATACTTTGACCAATTGAGGGCTTATTTATCCGTCGTAGGTTTTGCCTGGACTTTGGAGAAGTGAAGAAGGAAAAAGAGATGGATAAGGTGAGAAGGTCACATTGAATGTTTTAGCTGTGGGATAGGCAACTCAGGTCCTGCAATGCCGAAATACCTCTGGTTTTCATTCTCTACCTCTAATCAACTGAGGTGAATTAACCTACAGCAGCCAATGTGATAATGGCTGGGGTCATTTTTGCTGTTCTCCAAATAGCATTTAAACGTTTTTAATTGTATAGAAATGCAGTAAATGCGCTTCAACTAAAAAAATGTCCAGGGGAGACCTCACTATAACTCAAACCCTGGTTATGGCCCTGCGCACAACGGAAAACATTTTAAAATGTGGATAAAAATGAAATGAGTGTTATTAGTTCCGGTAGTCTCTACCTATTTCAGTGTGTTTTCTACCTTTTGGTATCTAAAGAATGGAATGAGAGGACTCTCTGGCCAATCAATTATACATATCAATACATCAACTATCAGGTAGAAAAGAAAATTAGCAGAACTTTTGGCCATACCTGGAGTTGAATAGCCTTGTTTTGAGTGGTTCTGAGGGTGATAACATCTCGGTTCAGATGAATAAACTATTCACATTTTGTTGTCATAGTGGTTCCTCCTGGAGGACGTGACGAGTGGAGAGGTTCATCTCAAACTGCAATGGCTCTCTCTACAAACTGACCCGGGACTCCTAGTGGAGGTAAGCGCTCTTAAGCAGTTTATAAGCACTCTTAAGCAGTTGAGCCGACTCACCCAAACCGTGATGAGGAAGCTCTGATATGTCTTTTCATACTGCACAGCCCGGGTCGCTAAAGGAAAACAACAAATGTGCTTATTAACCGTATACAGCGTTTGACGAATATTGTGTATTTCTTGTATTTTTCTGTTGCAGACATCTGATGGCAGTGCTTGTGCTATGCTTGCTGTGTACCTAGACAATGCCTCAAATCTACCAGTAAGTACCTCTGTCAAGCCTGTACAGCTACGGAGACTCACATGTTAACAAGCACAAACAGTCCGCGATGTGAATATAAGATGCGATAACCAAGTTTATTCGGTTATGAAAACATTAGTACACATTCTCAGAGCACCAACAAGACACTCTCCACTCAATCTGATGCCCCAGGTTTTACCTGCTTATAACAAAGAGTTAGCAATTTTGCATACACATAATATGATAGGCCGAGGACAATGAAATATACATGTTACAATGTCATCCCCTTATTGAAGATAATCATCATCATCACCATTACCATCATTCGTAACTCATCACAATTGACCCTTCGCTAAGATCTGCCCCAGAATTTTGGGCAACCATTCTCAGCCCTCCAATGGATAACAACTGTCGTCGAGTCCGACACCTCGGACAATCGCGGACATGGCTATGGCAAATACTGAGAATTTTATTTTAAAAATACATGTTTAAATGGCTAAATAATTGAACCGTGCACCATGAGTATTTGCTAATGTGATTCCTGAAATGCAGAGCTTGTTGATGGAGTATTTTTCAAATCCGAAATTATACTTTTGTTATATTGTTTGCTAGCTCAGCTGGTTAACTAGCTCTCAGTTTCTCAAAATGGATGTAAGCTACCTAAGTTAGCAATGTTATGAATACAACTCCCATCTGCTGTCGAACATCAGGATACGATTTGAGAGCACTAGTTATCTCTAATAGTGGTTATAACTTTGACTGCATGCTGACAGTGAATTAAGAGCCATTCAGTGGCTAGCTACACTACAAACAGAACTTTACCAGGTTCCTGTGAAGCAATTGTAATGACAGTCCACCACAACATACCCAATAGTTTCCTGATTAGCAGGGGGTGTCTGTGTTTAATTTCATTGTTTGTTAGAAACACAATTTGAAATCATTGTGAAGGGATTTCCCAAGTGATTGAATGGGGAATTAGGCTTACCGGAAAAATGTGACCCATTTCAGGAAGCTAGGCGTATGTCCCTCTTTTTTTTTTTTTTTTATCTTTTATGACGACACAGGATGTCCTAATTAGTTAAAGTGGTTCCAGTCTGCCGTGAAAAGTTCATCCATGTATACGGGTAAGAGTCTAGCTACATTTTCAGATATTATACATTTCTAATTTTGTCAGAATATCGTTTTCCTTGCAAGTTAAAGCATACTGTTCACTAGCTAGTGAACGTTAGTTTTCTGGCTGGCTCGCTAGATAACGTTACATGTATGATCTGTGTAGTAATGTTATTTGTATCTCAGAAATCCATTTGCATCGCTAGTTATAGCCTAATGTTAGCTAGCTAACATTGAACCTAGTTGGTTAGCTTTAGCTACCTGCAGATTCATACTACAGCATGTCATGCATGGTGGCTAGCTATGACAATCAGTTTGTACTGTATGGGTTGGGATTATGGTTAATTGTTTAGCTAGCACTACATGTCTGAACAAAAGACTCCACTTCGCCAGATGATTACATGACCCATCAAGTTAGCCTTGTGTGTCTGGGGGTGATTACGGCCATCTATTGTATTTCATGAACATGTGTACATGTCTAGACAATAGTGACCCATCCACTTAGCTAGATGTGGCTGGGGGGTTGTTATAGCATTTCTTTCACATGACCCATCAATTTAGACAAGTGTGTCTGGGTAAGAATCATCTAATAATTATAACATATTTTTTATCTGGACCCTTTCTATTTTTGATATTGCTATGCAAATTACCATTTCACTGTACCGTTTACACCTTCTGTATCCTGTGCATGTGACAAATACATTTTCATTTTATTTGATATAGTGTGTGTTTACCAGAGATGGTAATGTGAAGAACAACATGAACTGCACCAAAATCAGAATAGGATATAGGCCAAGGACTAGATAAAGTGTATTTGTACCTGGAGTTATGCCTTATTGTAGGTTACTTATTTCTCCACTTTTAGTCTTGAAATCTTTGGTCGTTCACTACTCTACCTTACTCACTCTGTTTAGCACATGGCCTCACGTGAATCCTTAAAGAGATGGGTGGGGCTAAGGCTTAAGAGGGTGTGAACGATGCTGAATAAGTGTAGACAAAGAAGAGTTCTCCAGTAGGTGTACCAAAACATTCAAGGGCCATTTTCTAAAAAGTGGGGTTTATCAACTTTCAAGCAGAATTACTTTCCCATTGTTCCTTAACTGCAGTGTATGATATACCATTTTGTAGCTCTGAGTCTCTACTTTTATCCAATGCAAAAAAAAATAAAAAATACAAATTATTTTTGCAACATAAGACCGAATCGAGGTGGTCGGGTCAAAAATGTTGCAGATGTTGTCCGAGGTTGCAACAGTACCAAAAGGGGCAGGGCTTAGCAAAGGGTCAATTGTGCTCAAGTTTTCTGTTATAAAACATGGCCTGCTGCATTGAACATTTTAGGTTCTCTATTTTATCCAACCTAACGCAATGGTAAATATTAGCGCAGGCTGGGGGTGTGTCAGAAATATTTTTGCTATTTTTACTGCAGTAATTATGAGTTTATTAAATAGCATAGGCTACAGTAACAAGTAATAGAAACATAACAAAAACATCCAGTATTTTCTCAATCTGTTTGGAGTGTTGACAGTCAACATTGTTGTAATTGGCTTCAACGAGTATAGGTCTTTATGCATCGCACAAAAAATACTACTCTCCCGTCATTTGTAATATGTAAATATATGTGTGAGGCATGTTCTCAATAAGCAAGATATAGGACTGAATAATTTGAATACAAGAGGCACTCTTTGGAAATGGGGATGGATACAAGCCGAATGGAGTAGCCTATGCACTGCAGGTAGGCCTATGTGAATTGTGAATAATGCAAAAGCCTCACGAGTAGGCCATTTAGAAACCTTTTATGGATATGCTACTTGGCTAATGCATTGCCAGGATAAGAATAGACACCAGATTAATTGCTGTTGAACCAGCTTTCATTATAGTAGGGTAAGGGTAGTCTATAAGGGCTTGTTTGCTTTATCAAACTAAATGGAAAACAAGCAATTGTTACAGGAAAATAACTTAAATGTTTCTAAATACGAGTGTCACCGGATCATGTCATCTCTCGTTACATGATGGGCATATAGTCTACATGGAGGGGTTTTGACGCACATCCAAAATAACAACAGGAGCTGGCTCAAATCATGTTCAAAGCCTACATAGATAAAAAGGGGATGCCCCCAAACTTGATCTTTTGGTAATCTTGACTACTTGGCGAATGTATAAAAAAAAAAACAGAGAGAAGGGCAGGATATACTTGGTTATAATGAAACGAAATGGAAAAAATGTAAGTTTCTAAATACAAGGTTTACAGGCACAAAAAGCACATCTCTCTTGTGTCATTTGCATATGGGCACTGTGCGTCACGACTGGATAGGCTGCACTCAAATATTACCACTTCTCCCACCTCAGCACAAGCGAGCTCATATAAGAGGTAAATTACCAATCCTGGCTCGAGGATTTGAAAACAGAAGAGTGCCGGCTTTAACAGGTCGAAATTGCAAACAAGCATGCGTTTGACAACTGCGCTGGCATAACGCCAGCCGAAAATAGAGCCTTTTAATGTGTTATTTTGATACATGAACTACATTACTTGTTTTGCTCTATACATGCTCTTTATTCTACTTTATTGCAGAAATATGCCATTATTTGTTTTGCTATCTGAAATATCTATTGTATATTATTAATATCCATTTATTTGTCTACCACAGAAAGACCACAGTGAGTTCAGCCACTTTAAAAAGGATGGGAAGCACACCAAAGAGGCCAGGGTAAGTCTAGATCGTATTTAGTAGGGCACATAAAGGACAACATTTTGAATCATTTTGCAATGGAAACGAAAATGTTAGTTTCTTATTGGACAAGTCGTCCCTCCCTGTTTCAGTCTGTTTTCCATTTGGTGCCTAATGAATATGGCAAAATCGAATGGCCTGCTACTGGCACTCCAGGGGTATATTCACTAGAAACCAAATGGAAGCCAACAGCAGCAAACGCAGCGAAACAGGGAGGGACCTACCTGAATTTGTCCAACAAACGACTTTCTGTTTGGAATAAACGGTTTCCATTGTGTACAGTACCTGGTACAACACTGGTATTTCCTGTTTTTCTGGTGATGGCAGGTCATTTGGGTGTGACCTGTTGGATTCATTCCCATACCTACTTTGTCTGCCCTGACTTGATCTTTTGATTCCGCTTCCCCTCCTCTGCTCCCCCTCCTGGTCACTCTGTAAGAATCACACTTCGGTTTTGCTGATGTCGCTCTTCGGGGAATGTATAAAATGTGTTAAACACTGTAGTGGAAAACGCCTTTTGCATAAGTAAGGTCCTTTTCTGGGCCGTAGGTAGTGAGTTCTATCTTTGACCTGTGGTAATGCAGAACTATCTCTCTTAAGGTTGGTTAGTCAGAGGACAATCTCCACTGTCTGTATGTTGTGATGATTAGTCTAGAGCTGCTCTCTAAAGCATGAAAACATTAACAAGCTGCCAGGTGTAGCACAGTTCCTATTATTTAATCTTTAGACTCCTTTTATACAGTATAGTGTAGATCCCCCTTGACATTTCCCTCTCTGAAGTCTGCTAACGATATAGGCTCCCCTCTCTGTCACATATATATATATATATATATATATATATATATATATATATAGATATATATATATATATATATATATATATATATATATATATATATATATATATATATATATATATATATATATACACACACACACATTGGGGAGAACAAGTATTTGATACACTGCCGATTTTGCAGGTTTTCCTACTTACAAAGCATGTAGAGGTCTGTAATTTTTATCATAGGTACACTTCAACTGTGAGAGACGGAATCTAAAACAAAAATCCAGAAAATCACATTGTATGATTTTTAAGTAATTAATTTGATTTTATTGCATGACATAAGTATTTGATCACCTACCAACCAGTAAGAATTCCGGCTCTCACAGACCTGTTAGTTTTTCTTTAAGAAGCCCTCCTGTTATCCACTCATTACCTGTATTAACTGCACC